CTATATTTCTATACATTAATTCTTGCATAAATCAACACAAATTAGGAAACCTAAGAGAATAGGAAACTAAAATTCTAAACCATTTAAAATCCTAGTCAAAATCTAATTCCAAAATAATAAAATTAAGAAATAATATATCAAAAATATTAAAACTAAAAATGTAAAAATTCTTAAAATCTTGTTGTACATCAGACTCTTCTTCTTTGAAAGAACTCGTCCTCGAGTTCATATTAGATATCTGCCATCTTCCATGCCAAATAAAGAGAGATTTTGAATATTTCAGTTCCTTGCCCCTCTTCTAAAAGTTTTATTTAGAAAAGTTTTCCTTCTGAAAGTTCTTCTCTATATGCTTCAACTGGTTGACAAGATTAATTAGACAAGCATTGAAAATCAAATTAAATTGCTCCACACCAAGAAAATCAACGAAATGTATTTTATGTTGATGTTGGATACTCTCTAGACTTTGCTCTGTCTTAGATTCAATTGGACATTCAATTATCATCCTTAGAACATCAATTGCATCCTCAATCAACTTCTCTGGTGCACATATCAACTTTATTACCTCATCTTTTATTTCATCTTTTTCATTGAGTTCAACTTGATCTCCTTGTGCGATCTCATAACCATCGTAATAATTAAGAGATGATAGTTTTGTCATTAGAAGCTCTTGGCTAACCTCAACGTTTTTCTTTTGCTTCACCTCTTCATTGTCTTCTTCAGGTTTCTTGATCAAAGTAATTTTAGTGACCTCTCTTTCATCAATTTCAACGTTCTCACCATTGTTGAAATCAACTTGATTTTCTACTTCAATTGAATGTTTGTTTGGGTCTTCAAAATTTTGAAACATTGTGATACTCAATCTTTTCTTCTTCAATGCGTGGTGGAGCGTGACAAATTTGTTGACCTACAAGACTTGATTGACCCAAACTTGGTAGAGCCATAGTCATGTTTCTCGAATAATCTATATCCACAATTGCATAATAATTGTTAAATTGCGAAGAATATTGTGAATCAGAATTACTTTGAAACAATTGTTTCGATTCAAGCTTTCTTTGATATTGTTGATATAATATTTTCCCTTGATTTGATTGAAGGAATCTAGAACTCATCAACTTCTTCATCTTATGCCACATCCTAATGGGTTGTTTGTATTGTCGCCTTCGATCATTTTGCAATTGTTTCCACCATGTAGAAACATAACCTTGTAACTTACATGCGACATATTTGCTTGCTTTTCTTCAGAGATTTCCGTACACTCAAGGAATTTGTTAACTTTGCGAAACCAATAAATAAAATCCTCGGCATAACAAGAAGCTAAAATAGGGAATTTCTGGTGGTACTTGATAATTTGAAAAGTCATGATTGATGCAATTATTCCTATTGAACACATCTCTAAATCTTCGTTGTCGCCTTACCAAATGATATTCACTATAATCCTCGAATAACTCATTTTCAGATTTGTCCTCACTATTGTATTGATAACAAGAAGATCGTCTCAAGACATTGTGGTTAATAGGCTGGCCTTGGGCAAATCCTATAGCGCGGTTTCTATTAACGTTGTGACTAACAAGTTGGCCTTAGGCTAGTCCCTTGACTCGAATCCTATTAGATCTTTCTCTACGATCATTGCCAATAGAGCTTATACTTCCTCCTTTGATGAATGACATCAAGCCAGAAGAAATCTTGCTCTGATACCACTTGACGTAGCGGAATACACGGGGACTAGATATCGTTCTAGTAGATGAAAGGGTCTCTCGAATTCACGAGAAAAATAGAACCTTCAATCCACAAGGAAGAGAAAATATCTTAATATTGTTGATTGAATGACTTTCATTACATATGCTTGTAGGCTTATTTATAATAAACTAAACCTAATACTTGTAGGAAAAGTAAGTAGGAAACTTAAATCAACACAAATTAGGTAACCTAAGAGAATAGGAAACTAAAATTCTAAACTATTTAAAATCCGAATCAAAATCTAATTCCAAAGTAATAAAATTAAGAAATAATATATCAAAAATATTAAAATAAAAAATATAAAAATTCTTAAAATCTTGTCCTACATCACAAATCCAAAAACCACAACCATGTTTTCTTCTTCTCCTTCTCAACAATGACATGGGCAAATGGAAAAATACAATTATTTGCATTTATCCCCACTGTAGTCAACAACACTCCACCATGTGGCCCCTTCAAATGGCGACCATCCACTCCAATGACTGGCCTACAAGCATTCTAGAAACTTATCTTCAATGTACCCCAACACATACTATCTCTTAAACTTGGACACTTGCTCATCCCCTTCATCAACTTTTGAAAATTCTTTCACCTTCATGCATATTGTTGTTCCAAGATTAGTACTCCTAATCTCTTTTACAAGACCCCAAAGCATTGCAAATTGTTCAGTTGCAGTACTCTCAATCATTGTCAAAGCCTTTCTTTTTGCCCTCTTCACTTCCTGCATGTCAACTTGCACATTGTGCTCTATTGCAAAGGTGTCTATAAATGACTTAATTGGCGGTTAAACCTAATCCTTTCCCAATACCTCTTCATATTCCATCTACTACTTACATGTGGCACATCAAATGTTCTATTGCATGTGTGTTCATCTACAAAGGTTTTGATCCTATACACCCCTTCACTCTTCACAAAAGAAGCATAGCAAACCCAAGGACAACCACTTTTGCACTCTGCCCTAACCCTCTGTTTGTCACTCTTAGTAAATGTGATTTGTTTGCTCCACTTAATAGCATATTCCTTTATAGCATCCCTAAACAGAGCATGTGTCTTGAACTCTATACCAATTTGGAATGTAGGATTGTGCATGTCAATCTCACTAAAAATAAGGTATTTAATCCTCCTGCAATTACTATCTTCATCAGAGGAGCTGTCAAGGCTTCTTAGCTCATTAGATGAGTTGTCCACACTTTGTAGGACATCATTGTCATCTACATCACCCACAACATCCTTACGACTTCCAAAACCACCAAATTTCACTTCTTTGTCAATATGTTTATCATATAAAGCATCATCATCACCTTGCTCATAGTCACTGCCCTTATATTTTTCAGACTCTGATATCATAGGTATCACTATCTCCCTCTTCTTCCACTTGAACATCAACAACTACCCCTTTACCCTTACTTCTTTCTACACTTGACCCTACTTGACTCATTTGTGTACTTACATTATCATCCAAATTGTGTCCTATGTAAACATCTATCACTCTATTTTCATCCACATATGTTCCCAACATCAATACATCAGCATCAGATTTTAGCAACTCCAATCCACCATAACCACTAACCTTACTATAATAGTTATTACTTGGCCTATGTCCTAATTCCTTGGCCATGTAATATAACTTTGTAATGGAAATTTGATCTGAATGACAAAAGTCAAAATGATTTACCATACGACCATTGTAAACTCTCTGTGGAATATACCTAATCACACACCCATGATGCATTTTGATTGTGAAATATTCAAATCCTTCCTCTGCATTTTTCAATGGAAATTACTATTAAACTACACTGAACCTACAGAGATATTCAACTATTCAATGGAACTCACAGTGATAAAGTACTATTAAATTACACTAGAAATTTAAAAAAAAAAAAAAAGAATAAACAAGTAGTCATTCACGTGAAATAGAAACTACAAAAAAACAAAGATTTAATATGTGTTCATCAATTTCAAACCGAAACAAAGGAACAAAAATTTTCTTAAAGTAAAACTTTTAAACCGAAACAAACATAAACAAATTTCATTAAAAAAATCCATGTCACATAGAAACAAACAAAGATTTCACCCTAAAAAAATAATATTAACACTACAACAAAATGCACTTTTGGCGTCCAAATTTGGCGACTAAAAAAAATTTATTCGCCAAAAGTGCTAGAATTGGCGACCACGATTGACTTTACCCCAGGTATGTCTCTATTTCGCCCTCTCTCTCTCTGTCTCTGTCCCTGTCTCTCTCTCTCTCTGCGACTTCTTCCATTCGCACACTTTGACAGAAACCCAGCCCTAAATCGACCCAGCCCCAAATTGTGATTTGACAGCAATGTTAGAGATTTGAATTTGATCTGCATCCTAGTCCAGAGTTATGGTAAACAAATGGACAATTCCAGAATCTGAATCTGGAATGGAATTCTGAAATGGACAATCTGAAGCTCAATTCCAGAATATGTTAAAGAAATGGACAATTTGAATTTGATTTTATTCAGTTTCTGGTTGAATGTAAATCGTATATGTGTTAATTTCAGAGTTGTGTTGCGTATAGTCACAATTGAGGCAAGGTTTTGGAGGTAGTTTGCATTTCAAGACTGCTATGTAGTTCCAAATCCCCCCCTCCTTTGGGTAAAATTCTCCTTGTTCAAACACATGCCTTTCTTTTATGCCCTTTTTGTTACTGAGTTCAACTCTGTTAATAGATAGTTTCAGTATTTAAAACACAAGGTAAATGGTGATTGTCTGACTTATTTTTTGTACTGAAGTAAATATTTTATCTGCAAACAAAATTGTGTAATAACCTAAAACCGTCTGTTTCAGTTTCTTGGAGGAAATCATCCTTGGGAGTGGTCAAAACTTTGTATTAGAAGTATTTCTTTTAATCATGTTAGAACTTTGTATGACGTATTGCATGAATGTTTTCAATACACTCGAGTATGATATTTCAAATAAATTATAAGGAAGGATTTTCTTTTGCTGAAGTGATCAAGAATATATATATTTTTCATTATTTGTGCATAAAGCAAATGCAATAATGGTCTTCTCCTAAGCTAAGTTAACAAAAGCTGCATGTTTACCCAATTCTGTTATTGGCTAATGATATTTGAACACCTCATGCTTCTGTTGGCACTGCTAATTTATCTTGTTAGAAGTTTCACTTTTTGTTCTCTTCCTTTTTTGTATGTAGACTACAGATGATTGTGTATGTTGAGCTTCTTTGGTTCTGCTTCTGAAGGACCTCATTTTTACACTTGTGTTCAATGTAGGCTGATGAATATGATGGTTGCTTCTTGGGATTGCTACCTGATATAGCTGTGATAACGAATGTGGAATGGGAGCTTGTAGATATCTTTGAAAATGAGGTTAGTGGGTGGCTCTAGTATTGAAAGCAAAATATTTATTTATTTAAATCTCTTAGATTATTGTAGACTGACATAATTAATTTTTCTGTCAATTAAAACTAATTTTTCTGTTAGTAAAATGAATATTTCTGCAACAATTGAAATTTAGAAATAAATCTTATATCAAGCACAAGGACATGGATGTGATTATTGACTTTGTTGACATTTCTGCTTTCACAACTAGTTAATAAAATACTTCTGTAATGTTTGATGATTTTACTAATAAATTTTGATTCAAATCATTTGTAATTTTTTTTTATTTATTTAAATCACTAGCTTGTGTTTTTTTGACTGTAGGGTACCAATCACTCCTAAAAAAGCTCCGATCTACTCCAATTCATGACAAGCTTCCAACTTTGGTGAGTCAAAATTGAATTTTCAGAACATTTTTTATTAATCCCGAACATGCATTTGCCGTTGCCATAATAGGGTTTTGGTATTTTAAGGATCTAGGAATGGTTTTAGTTGGGTCTTCATATAATGAGGTATTATCAGAAGGTGGAAGAGAAGGTACTAGGGTTACAAGAGGTGTTTTCATATCATTGCTCTATGTAGTAGTTATGGAGAAAATTGAGCTGGTTTGTTGGTGCGTATGAGAGAGTGTGTACTTTGTTTGTTGCTCTGTTGCTTGAGGAAAGGAGATTGTGAGTGTTTGGATATAAGCCTTGTGCAATGAGCTTTTTCTTGATGTATGAGTTTCAAAAATTTCTTCATTTCATTGCCTATTCTACTAGGCAGATGTTTGGCTATCTGGGCTCATGTGTTGCCTTTGCACTGTAATTAATTCATGGAATCGTCTAAAAGTGCTATTGTATGTTAACATGAATTATTACTCTCTTATAAGTATAATACTATGAATTTTCTTTGGTTTGTTGTGCTTATATTAGGTCGCTCTAAGAATGAGATTTTAGGAGGCTGAAAATGGTTTGAATGAGATTTAACGTGTGATCTTTTCTCATTATTAATCACAGGTTTCATTAGATATTAATCACATTTAAAATCTGTGAACATAAATAGATTGAGTTGGGATGTGAAAATTGCTCAAGTTACAAATTACTTTAAGGGGAAATTAACTACATTGACATTAAGAAAATTGGTTGAATGCCCTTATATGTTAAATCTGGCAAGAATGAATTAACAGGATTCAAAATGCACAAAAAGAGAGCTGGAGGGAATCTTCATTACATGTTGAGGTACTTTGGTCACTACTTGGGCTTTATATTACTGTAGAAATTGTTCATTGCAGTGTCTGAATTCTTGTATTTATGTGCTTCGAGTTCCTTCCTAGTAGTTTATGTTAACCTCTTCTAACTGCACAAATGTTAAAAAACACACGAGTGATGTTTAAAAAAAGAAGACCCATATCTAGTATGAGGAATCTAAGGAGATATAAGGTTGTTTAAAACCTTCTATACAGCATTTACATGAACTTGGGACAAGGTATGCACAAGTTGACATGATATTTCTAATAAGACAGGACTAGACAATTGTACATAAAGAACTACACAAGTATGCATGCATGTCCATATGTACGATACATTTTTACAATGTTAATTTCTGTTAATTTTGTAGAAGCAGCAGCCTATTTTTGCTTATTTGTTCTATAAGCCAGTGAAAATCAATTAGAAATTCTTGCTCTCTGTTTTGCTATTCTAACCAAGTTTTTGGGGGAAATAATCATGCTGTTGTGTTCCTTCTTGTGTCTGTTATTACACTGTTAATAGATTTTGCAAATTCAGTTCTATAGCATAGACATTTTGCTGATATTGCTGAATATAATAGATCTACTATCCAAAGGCATGTGCTTAGTTGAGATGTATCTTGAATTTTGGTTTAACTATAATTCAATATGTTTCAAGCAATAAATGATAAAGAGTCTTGTTGGAGTGCACAGACAAAGTTATTAAGCAAAATAGAGAAGGTATGATTAAGATATATACATATTTGATATTTTACTTGTTGGCTGCTTATCTTTTCTTTCATTTTATGCACAATAGATCTTCATTCAATGTGTTTAAATCATGGTTAGAAACCTGCTATCAGTGTCCTTCAATCCTTGGTTCTGAAATATTGTCTTATGATAGATATTTTGGAAGATGTGCCTAATTATTATGGGGAACTGTAGTCTTGCTGCATATGGTGACAATTCATATTAGCTTGGTGCTATGGCATATTATTGTTTGTTTGAATATTGTCTAATTCAAGTATTTGCACCAAATGCTCGTATTATCTAGTGTATTTCCATGTAACATTTGGTTTAACTTATATAGTTGGAGGATGTTTATTTTGATTCAACCTTTGTCTCCTGAATAGTACAGCAGATGTGTGATATAATTGATACATAGATCAGCTATTTTACTAAAATTTCCATGTAGATGAGCAAGTGAAGTGTTGGTGCCCACCACTTGGGAGTTTGTGTAACATCAAGTGGGGAACGAGTCCGGCATTACGGATTCTAAATTCTTTTTTTTTAATTAATTTTTTTATGTCAATTTGTCAATTAAATTCAGCAAGGATTAGGACGGTCTGCCAAGATTATCTTAGAGATTCACATGGGCTAGGTTTGTGGATGGGCATTAGAAAGGTTAGCAGGAGTGTTCCATGGTAATTGGTTAAAAAGGTATTAGTTCAGGTATTGGTTAAAAAGGTATTAGTTCAGGTATGGGCATTAGTGATTCTCTTCTAGTCACCTGAAAAGGAATTAGTTCAGCTAGTGATTCTCTTCTAGTCACCATTAGTTCAGCTAGTGATTCTCTTCTAGTCACCTGAAAAGGAATAAACACTCCGGTCGGGGGTGCCGGAATTAGCACTCCGACGGGCAAGTCAGTCTTTACACTCAAGTTTACTTGTATTCTAAATTAAGCACAATAGTTCTCACATACCTCTTACTGGCTGATATTCTTCTATTTATATCCTTTGTCTCTTGGACCTCGGGATTAGGCCCATTTTCTGTTCGTCATTCGGCTTCCTTTGTAGCAAATTGCTTTTTACTCGGCCCTTGCCCTATTCGGCTATTTGACTAGGGTAGGATTTGGATGTGGGATGAAGCCGAATACTATACATACATCCCAGTTCCCCAAGTTCATATTCTAGGCCTATTTACGACCCCTATTATTCGTTCCCAACAATTGACCTCCAAACATTCCACTAATGACAGTTGGTTGGAGTGTTTGGTTTCGAACTCGAAAAGTCAGAGCCGAAATTCGGCGGTTGACCCCATTCCAAGGCAGATGTCTGAACACACGCTTCTCGGTCATCATTTCAACTTCCCGCCCCTTCGTACTCTCCTACTTATTATGATTTAAAATTTTGACGTCTTTTCAAATACACACGCTTTCAGATACTTGCCGCTGGACTGTCTTCCGCGTTGTCTCTGCAACTTCCTTTCCTTCACTATCCTCTTCGTCTCTCGTAAGTTCTCTTTGCTTGGTTTGTTTTTGGTTTCGAGCATTCCTGTAAATTGTAGGAAATGGCAAAACACCTGAAAGATCTCCTCTCTTCGGATCGAATTTCTGGCTTCCGATGCCATTTTTCCATTCCTGATGACGTCCGTCTGTCATTCGTAACAGATGACACCCTCGATATGGAGAGGGCTGATGAATCCACGATTGTTTTCCCTCTCCTATCAATCGCAGAGGGTGGAGTCCGATTCCCACTTCATCCACTCCTTAGGGCTGTGCTTTGCCATTGGGGTTTAATCCCTTCCCAACCCAATGTTAATTTTTTTAGAATCGTAATGGGGATTATCGCACTTAGGGCTGTGCTTTGCCATTGGGGTTTAATCCCTTCCCAACCCAATGTTAATTTTTTTAGAATCGTAATGGGGATTATCGCACTAAACCGTCGCCTTAGGATAAACCTCGGCATTTCTGCTATTCGGCATTGTTATGCCTTGGCCAAGTCTTCTTGTCAGCATGGGCGTTACTTCCTTAGGGCCAAGGACATCGACCATCAACTAGTGACTATGCTTTCCAGCTCTGGGAAGCTAGTCGATGATGTTATGGTCGTTGTCCAAGGTAATTGGAAATTCGGCGAAGGCGAGGATCGCCTTAATCCTATTCCTGGACGGAGGGGTGAACCAGGTGGCCGTGTAGCTTCTTTTATTTATTTTTTGTTATATTCATAAAGCTTCGTTTTCGAGATCTCATGGCTTTGCTTGTGCAGGGAACGATTTGAAGAAAGTCCTGACTTCAACCAACGAAGCCGTTCTTTCGGAAATCAAGGTTGCGCTTAGATATTTCGGTCGGCCGAGTCTTCAAAAACAGGGGAGGGCGGCCTACGTTCTTCTCCGCTACGAGCCGACCTATACGACCTTCTCGATGGCAGAGAACATCCCAGTTCCGAAGGGTGAGGAGTTTCTTACCGCCCTCATCCTGACCGATTTCAAGAATTCGAGGCAAGTCGGTCTTGGGGGGTCCGATTCGGAACGACCAGAAGTAGTTGAGGTTGCCGAGTTCGATCAGTCCGAAACTGAAGACGAGGCTTTGCAGTTAGCCTTTGAGGAAGCTGGCCTCAACTCAGCCGACCCTCCGTCCACTTCGGGCCGAGAGGACCTTCCACCCGACGACATTTTTCACGGTCTGGAGGACCTTCCCGGCGCTTACCCCGAAGATATGCCTGGGTTAAGCCTCACACAACTTGCCAAAGAGGTGAACGCGGAAAGGATGGCAACACGACGAAGGGCAGAGGCTATTCGAACCGGAGTGCCTCTTGCAACTGAAACTCAGCCCTCCCTGCCTGTTAGTGAATCTCAGCCATCCTTACCTGTTATTGAGGAGGGGACGGCAGAAAACCGAAGTGCCGAGGCCGAGTTGGTTGTGCAGGCCGATTGAGAGGCTGAACTAAGGGCCGAGAAGCGCTCTGTCGAGGTTGAGGCCGGCTCAGAAGATAACTGCGCCGACAAACGACCTTGTTTAGAGGAATCAAATGTGATCGTGCCTTTCGTTATTCAACCGAAGATAAAAAACACGCCGATCCCTTCTGATGCTTCGGTAATTAAAGATCCAGCGGTCGCGCTTAGCATGGTTACATCCGTTTCACTGTCGGCTGACAAGGCGGCTTTCCGGGGGTTTCAATAGCATTGGCCGCGCAATCGGCACTTTTGGTATAAATCTTGACTTTGTTTTTTCACTTTATGCAAATACTATTTTGGTCTTAACTTCTTGTTTTGCAGACCGTCAGAAGGATAACGGAGATGGGCCGTCGCCATCATGACGCCATCGAACAGCTCGGCCGTCTTCAAACGGAAGTTGAGGGGCAAAGGAGCAGGGCCGAGTCTGAGGCTTTAAGGGCGAAGATGGAAGGCGTGCGGGCCGAAGCCGAGATGGAGAGGGCAAGGAATGCGGAGGAACTGAGATTAGCCGCCGAGATAAGGGCAGACGCGAGCGAGGGGGCGCTGAAATTGGCCCAGGAGGCGGTCTCCAAACTGGAGGCTGAGTTGGAGGAAGTAAAGAAGGAGAAGGAAGCGGCCGACTCGGAGGCTTCTAAGGCATTAGAGGCCGGGAAAAGTGCTTCCCTTGCCAAATATGTAGACGAATTCTCCAAATTTGAAAACCAGGGATTCAAACACGGCTGGCTCAAAGCCCTTGCTGCCGCTGATGTGACATTGGCTACGCCAATTCCATACGAGCAAGTAGATATTGAGTTGCTGGAGTCTAACTCTGAGGATTAATTTGGGCGACACCTTTTTTGCTTGCTGTTTTAGGAGTTTTCGAATGTATTTTTACAGCTTCTTGTTTGGTAATTTTCATGTGTAAAATGGCTACAATTTGTGCTCAATTTCCTAATGAAAATTTTCTTTTTTGCCTTGCTGTTATCTGTGCTAGCTTTTGTTATTGATGAATGATATTGTTGTTGATTGCAAGATGGCTACACTTTGTTTTTAATACCAAGTATCGATCGGCATGAGGCATAAACACTTGGCCGATCAGATTAATAAATCTGCCCTTGCCCCAGCTAGTGCACGAGCTTCGTTAGCCGAATAGGCCTAGTTCGTGGAATGGCTGCGGCATAAATCTATCGGCATCAGGCTTAAATATTTGGTCGATTAGATTAATAAATCTGCCCTTGCCCCAGCTAGTGCACGAGCTTCGTCAGCCAAATAGGCTTAGTTCATGGAATGGCTACGGCATACATCTATCGGCATCGGGCTTCTGGTGTTTGGCATTAATGACGTCGCCTCGGGGGCGCTGCATACATATGAATAAATGGGGTGAGTTCGTGCCAGTGAGTCCACTTATTTTTATTCAGACTCGATTTGAACTAGCTTGGGGCGAAGGCGAATGTTAAACAGACTGTTTTTCAACAGCAGAGGAGAAGGATGAACGCTGGTTGAGCTAGATACTGCGATGAATCGTAGCAGTGAGCCTACGCGAACGGGAGGAAGGACGTCCAAGGAAAGGGAAAAACGTCAACCTTTAAGCCGTCGAAGCAGATCACCCCGAAGAGAGAAGCAGCAACGAGGAAGCTCCCCGCGACCACAACCGAGGAATGAGCCAGACGCGACGCCACGACCATTGAGTTTTGCGGTGTTCGTGGGGAATAGACTGATGACTGAGACAGATTCCATCGTTAATGATCCGGGTGTAGCGGTCGAGTTTGCTCGACAGATCTTTCCACCGAAAATCCAACAATCGATGGTTAGACGACAAGATTTCGAAGTGTTTCGAGAAGGTATCCATGGGGCGGTGAAGGGGCTGTACACCGCCTACGAAGTCGGCATGCGCCTGCGCCCCGCGCGGCTGGAGATAGAGAAAATGGACGAACGGATCCGTAGTTCGGAGGCTCGTGCGGAGAAAGCCGAGCGTGAGCTCAGGGAGCTTAGGAAGGCTAAAGCTGCCGAGCCGCATGCGGCGGGTCAATCTAACCCGATTGTGGAGGAGAGGGTGACCCAACGGCTATTGAGTCATGCCATCGCCGACCGAGATACGACAAGCATGTTTGCCGTAGAAAATGCGAGGGCCAAGGGTTATGAGCAAGGCTTCCATGCTGGCTGGAAGGTTGGGATCGACAAAAAAAAAGAGAAACTGCAGAGGAGGTCTGCCGATGCGAGAATCGGGGCTTTAAGCACGGTTGGATCGCGACATTTCAGGCCGCGGAAGCTCTCCGAGCAAAGGGTGTCGATTCGGCGTTGCCGCTGTACCATCGTGATCATTTGCCCTTTTCCGCCTATGAAGTCGAAAAGAGCGACGATGAGGGAGACGCCGCATAAAAATATTCGTTGTAATGTTGAAACATGGATTGTGTCTAAAATTATGTAATTATTGGTTGGTCGAATAAAAAGACTTTATTTTCAATGTTTTGTTATAATTTTTGTTCGGCACACA